CACAAATCTATTAAATTTACTCTAGATTACTCCACTACTCAAATAAGTTTCTTAGATGTAAACCTAACATTAAAAAATGGTGTTCTACATGTTGATTTGTACTGAAAATCAACGGATAAAGCACAATATTTACATAATCAAAGCTGTCACCCTCCACACACCAAACGCAATATCACATTCAATCAAGATTAACAGGCAACAGGATTTGAAGTATAAAAACATGCATCATCTATACAAAGAACTATTTCATTCGTTTGAACTAACTGAAGTCGCTATTATCCATAAACATATACACGAACTCAGTAGAGAATATTTCACTGTTTTAAATATGCAGAAGCTCAACAAACTAACAAAACTAGGTGTCCCCATAGTCAACTCATTATCGAACTACAGTGTGAAAAAGTCGTAACAATTTCCGATTATCTTCTTCTTACGGAGGCAGAGCTCTCTGTTTTATTAAAAGGGCTTAATATTGTGCCCACTGACAACCGACTCGATGAATATTCTTTGAAACCTGACACGGAAACATGCTCCAGGCGATGTTGTTTAAAGGCTCACTTTTCTAAACAAGACTCATATGAACAAAATACTAACAACACTGTTAATATTGAATCAAATGGAACCTCAACTCCTACCACACCTGATTTTACCTCCGGTGACACACTTCCCGTTGATTCTATATGTATTGCACCTACAACAGCAACACCCATTCCATTTGATCCTTTCAATGGCTTTGAAGTTCGGAAAATTGATACTTTTATCAACCACCGTTGTGCTAAAAACAACACTATTAAACTCAAGAATGATAAGACAAGGCCTAACCTCTTCAAAAATAAATGACTTGTTCAATCCATCCTGAAAACCTGCAAGGACATGGTTATCAAACCAGCCAATAAAGGTGACGCCATTGTTGTTTTTTGGCCTAGAGACGTATATGTTCAAAAGACTAACAAACAACTAAGTGATTCCACCTACTACAAACCTCTCTATGGCAATCCCCTTCTCTGTTTTCAGAAACTCATCAAGGACAGTATAGAAGAACTTATAAAATCTAACCACTTTCTGCCAAAAATCTTTTACTTCAACACCCCAGAATTATGCTACCCAATATTCACAACTCCGGGTGCCCTGAACGCCCCATAGTCTCTATCTGTAACTACCCAATTATAGATCTCCACTTACCTTAACTGTATTTTTCAACCCCCTAATAGACACCTTCCCTACACTCGTTAAAGATAGTACCCATGTCCTTAATTTCTTAAACAAGATTGACTCTGCCACCACCGTTTATTACATTTTCACAATGGACATTCAATCTGTATAATGCTTGGAGACTTTGAATTTTAATTCAATCTCTATATATTGTTATACCACACAACGACGGAATGATTGCACTTAAAGCTTCTCAACAAAAGAAGAAACATATATCCCCCCACATACACCATACTTCGGCTGACTAAGTTAGTACTGACTTTGAATGCCTTTGATTTTCACGAAAAAAAAACATTAAAGTTACAAGGAGTTGCCATGGGAACCAAAATAGGTCCATCTTATGCAAATCTTTTTCTTGGTTATGTAGAGGAACAACCTTTCGGTACCTTCACCCACAAACTTCCAACCTTTTCTATTTGGTAAATCAACGATATTCTGGGTCTTTGTACTGGACACAAAGACGAACTCGAACTTTTCATTAATTACGCTGAAATTGACTTCCCTAGTTTTTTTTCAGAAAGCTAACTTTTTAGACATCACTATTGACATTTTCACATCCATATTTACTACCAACGTACATTACAAACCCATTGACAGCTGTTCCTATTTACATTTTAATTTTTTGCATCCCTCTGAACACAAACACGCTATTTCTAAGAGACAATTCCTACATTTAAGAGGCCCGACATAGCCAGGTGGTTAAAGTGCTTCACTCTGAGGGTCGTGGGTTCAAATCTCCATCCCTTTCAGCCGTGGGGGCGTTATAATGTATGACCAATTCCACTATTCGTTGGTGAAAG